GGGGGGGGGGGGGGGGGGGGGGGGGGGAGAAAAAAAAACAGAAAAAAGGAAACCTTTAGTGTGGTTATCTCCTGGGAAGCATCATAGGCTTTCACGAAGAAGATGAAATTAATCCTGTGGCAGTCTGTTGGAATATCAGGTCTAGCTATTTTAAGGAAGAAAATCTCATTTAAAAGTAAATGGGAGTTGAAAACTGCACCTGATTCATCCATGCATAACAGACTGTTGTAGTTGCTAAAATTGCCACTACATTGATTCAGAGTTCATGTAAATTGCACCTGTTCCAGGAGTTGCTTTGTTAAATGTTGTACTGTATTTTCAGTGTATTATCCTTGTCTTTTACCTTGTAACATGTAAAGAAAAGTTCATTTTAAATATCTGTGAATGTTGCAAACATCTAAATTTAAGTATTTATATATCTAAAGAATGAGAAACTTGGCAAGTTACAAGCTAAGGGTTCGAGGTCTATGACAAAAAAATTTATTTAAAATATTTATCCAATATATAATATATAATAATAAATATGTGTCCAATTGAGTGAAGCTCAAAATAAACTCTGACCTAAATTAATCAAATTAGTTCTTTCACTTATTTTCATCATATATGCATGTCATTGCAGCATGTGGCAACATGCATTAGCTAATTTCATATTCTAGAGTACCTCCTCTGGGAACCATGGGAGCAGGTAAATAAAATGAAAAAAACAATGAAGCTAAGAAGCAGGAAGAATTATATATAATTAGGGCTAGAGTTGGGCTTTCTAATATTCAAATTTTAGGATGGTATACAAGGGGTGTTCAATAAATAATGATCATACCTCAAAAACTTCATTATTTTAAACAATTGGATCTTATAAACTTTGAAGCTTTTCAATGTTATCCCCACCATCATGAACACACTTTCAGATCCTCCTGAGCCACTTTTGAAATCTCTCTTCATAGGCTTCTGTGGTATTCCATGAAGCATTCCCTATTCAGTCCTGCTGAAGTCTTCAACTTAGTGAAACTGTCTCCCAGTAGGTTTTCTTTGAGGGTAGGGAACAACCAGATGTCTCGGGGGTGAGATCAGGGAAATATAGTGGATGGGACAAGCCTTTGGCTTTATTTTCTATTTCTTCTTTATTTTCTCCTGTGTCACATCTGGGTCAATGAAAATGCTTCCATCCATGAAGTTCAGGTGACCAAGACGCTTTTGGAAGAAAATAAAGTCAAAGTCTTATCCTATCCACCCTATTCCTCTGATTTTGCCTCCCTAGACATCTGCCTACCCTACCCTACCCTACCCTAAAAGAAAACCTTGCAGGGAGATAGTTTCACAGAATTGAAGACCTTAGCAGAGCTGAACTGGGAGTGATTCAAGGGGTACCACAAAAAGCCTATAAAGTGGGATTTTAAAAGTGACTCAGTAGGATCCAAAAGTATGTTTGTGTTGATGGGGATTATGTTGAAGAGCTCTGAAGTTTTACATTCCAGTTTTTTAAAATAAAGAAGTTTTTAAGGTGTAGTCATTACTTTTTGAACATTCCTCATTTACCTCACATTGGATATTTTTTGTTTCCGAGAGAGATAGTGTCCTTTTTTAAGAGTTTTCAGTTCAATTTTTTTCTATATTCTAGGGTATGGTCAAAGACAAAGCCTGAAACTGGCCTAAATGTGTAGGTCCCAAGGGTATGTATTGACTTTTGGAAGGTTAAAGCTGTGTTTCTGTTCCCTCCAGTGGGAGATCAGTATTAGTACCAAATTTCAATGAAATTCATGGTAGTTGAACAACCAGTTCTGTCTTTTGGTTAAGATGTTATTGAATTGCCCAAATTCCTTACTTTTTCATGAATACCTGCTCTGAAATAACTGAAAGACCTAACTTTCTAAAAGTTCTTTGATGAACTTACAACAGATTGCACCTGGAATTGTTTATTGATTTGTTGCCAAATTGCTTAGTGGCACAGACTTCCTCTATGGATATGTTTAGATGACTATGTTCCTCCAGTCATTGAAAGCCTTAAGTGGCACCCTTAAAGTAAGGTAAGCTGTAAAGGCTTTCATCTACAGATAGAGCAAAAATGGAGGAAAGCCTCAAAGCCATCACTTGGGAGACTTTGTCATGGCTAACAGCTTCTCACCTTGGGGAAGACAGAGAATCTGTCTGTCTGTTTCTCTGTTGTTGTTGTGGTAAAGGTTTTGACACAGCAAGAAGGAGCAATATTTGTAGATGTGAAAATCTGAAGGAAGTGGTTAAGATCATGTGCTAAATTGAAGAAGAGTGGCTGTATCATTGATTTCAGGTGGAAGTATTTCTGTGATACCCATTGGCTAGCCTCTATGAGGTGAATAAAATGGTCTTTATTGTACTTTGCCATCTACCTATCAATGAGGTATGTGTACCATCTCAAGAGTTGGTGATAGGATTCCAGGTGGAATGGATTTTCCAGAACAGCCAAGCCAGTCATCAGTGATTCTCACTTTTTGGTACTACAAAGTCTCTCTGGCCCATGGTGTGGGTACCATAACACTAAGTTCCTCCCTGTGTTCATGAAGAGATAATTTACTGAACGGGTGAGTGTCCATGGGGGGGAGAGAGAGAGTGTGGATTTTTATTGAATTTCCTCCAGACCAGGAGGGGCTTATGTCTGAAATCAAATAAACTTTCTTGATCAATGTATAAAATGGTGCTGGTGTTAAAGGCTTGTTAAAGGAGTGCTCAGCCTCAACCTCAAGTGTTACAGGAAGTTGTATTCTTTAGAGAAGTGGTGGGTGGTGCTGAAGCTATTCAGTGCAATGTATGATAGTTTGTCACTTATGAGGAGTGCTTGAAAAGGCTATTTGAATGGCACTTTTTGAATTTCACTTTTGGCAAGGAAGAAGAGGACCCAAGGCTCCTATCATGGAATTCCATGGTTCCTGCTATAAAGAGATATTTGTAAAACCTAGTATTTCCTATGTCTATCCATGGATATGGCATGCCTTTGATGGACTTGTATGAAATGAGGCTCAGTATCACTTGTATCATTGGGTGCACTTAGCAACGAAACTGAGCTTGAGGAAATTTCTGGTTTAAGAGACTAAGGATTTTCTTATCTCATTCCAGAGATTGCATTAGGTTTCTTGCCATAGGGGTCCCCAGGACCCTCAGGTCTGATATGGAAGGGTCCCCTTATCAGGGGACCCTTCCTAAATAAGGGGGTTACTTTCCAAGTGAAGCACAAGGGAATCTTGAAGGGTTCCCCAAAAGAAAAAGTCCAGCAATCCATGAATATTTGCTGACTTAACATAACCAAGCAGTATGATATTCAATCCAACAGTCTTGGGCCTTCTGGCTGTGTGCCCTGGGGGTCCCAGACCCCTGGAATGCATGGGCAGGAGGCCAGGGCGAGAATCTTAGTGCAACCCCTGTTGTTCACAATATAAGAAGCTTCAATAGCATTAGCACCAAGTTGTCATCTGATGGTATTGGACCTTAGATGTTGTCCCAGTGTCAGGTGTGAGACTAGGAACATGAGTGAAGTGGTGGATCAGAATTTCCTGCAGATTCTGCCCAACATCCTTGGAGACATTGAGAGGTCAGCCTTCGTGGCCTTTGATGCAGAATTCACTGGGATTCTTCATCGTGAATGCCTCAAACCCAGGTCAGTTCCACTGCCTTAGACCTTCATCAATTCCTAGTTCTTTTCTCTGACAAAAGTCTTATTCAATTTGTGGTCTCAGCATTGCTAAAAGAAAGATATCAGGTGTGGTCCAATGGTGATTTGGGTAGGGAAGCAGAGATGGAGAGTGTGACCATGACATTCACAGATTCTGACCTTTCTTAGGTTGAGGGGGGAGGGGGGATGAATCGTGCCTGACGATGTCATCACCATGACATGTCTTGTTTGTGTCTATATGGTGCAGGAGAGTCCATGTGACTCACCACCGGTCCAATTTTGAGACTTCAGATGAGACTGGGCAAGGAGAACATTATATTTTTCTCTCCCCATTTCATTCTCCTCATAACTCCTCCCCATCAAACAGGACACCCCTTGAAGAGAAAAACATTAAGATACCCTTGTCATGTTTGAATGGATGAAGAACCCTTGAGGATTCCTACTATCCTGTTTGCCCTCATATATAGACCTGGCACTAACCCTTCCCCCTCCCATAAAGGAAGCTTCATTCATGTCCATATTATGATGTAACATCTCAATCTCCCAAGACTCAACGAAACCCCATAACAATACACCACAGGAAGGTCAAGTGGAGTTTAAAATTGCTAACAGAGGAACACATTCAGCCCTGGATCTAGTTGTGTGGGTTATGGTCTGTTTAGTAGGGCATCCTCTGAAACACAGGACTCAGGTTCTTTGCAACTGAGGAAATAGAGGTCAGTTGGAGCCTTCAGAACTGTTAGAAATGTCCCTCCCCCTTTCTCTCAACCGGGAAGCCACCCAGAATTTCCCTTCCTGAAATAGATCAGATTCAAATTGCTTTCTGAGTTCAGTGTATTTAAATCTTGTAAGATCCCTGACACTCAAGCTGAAAGTTGAAGGGACTCATACTAATGAACCTATATCTGAAACAATTACCCACTGTTATCATGTGCTTGCTCTCATCTGTTTATGAAGTTGAAAGAGGAAGCAAGTGGTAACACTGTTCAACTTCAGAGAACCTCACTCTCAAGTTCAAGTTCTGAGTATGGGATTGTCAGAACTGCAAAAAAAAACCACCTTTGGACAACCTTGACTCATGATTAACCATTGTAATGCCGTTGTGACAGCATCTGTTGCACGAAGAAAACCTTCCCGCTACGTAATTCACCATTACGAGAGTAAAAATTGAACATAATTTATGGTCAGGAGGTGACCAATTATTTATAAAATAGCCAAAAGCACTAATGCAACTGGTAATTTTGAGAGCTGGTTGGATTTGAGTGTCACGTGTAGTTCATCTAAAAAATTTTTGGAGAGGTGATACTGATGTATATTCATGTTATCTCCCCTTGAAACTTTTGGATGAACTGCATCTCAAACAAGACCTTAATCTGACATTTTCATTTTGAAAGTAAAGGTGAGACTGAAAGTGAAGCTTTCTTATGGATTGGAACTGGATCTGTCAAAACTTTTCTTAGAACTGAAAGAAAACTGAAACCCTCAGCCTACAAGTGGGCTACAATAGTGATACCTTGTGAACCTGACCCATAATTGTGAATAGAGAACTTTTTTTTCCTCTGGCAGCCTGTTCGACACCCCTGAGGAGCGATACAGGAAGATGTCAGCGTCTATGGAAAACTTTGCGATCTGTCAGTTGGGCTTGGCTGTGTTCATCCCGGAAGGGTGTTGCTTCCATGTCTCTGTCTACAACTGCTACATCTGCCCTAAGGCATTTGGGAGTGTCGATCGGCGCTTCTCTCTTCAGGCCTCTTCTCTTCGCTTTCTTCGCAGGCATAACTTTGACTTCAACAAGGTCTGCAGGAAATCATTCGTGTCACCTTCATATACCTTCGCCCAACGTGAAAACAGGTGTCCCGAAAGCATGAAATATTTGAGGGGAGAAAATTATTAAATTGGTTCGGTTCTTGTAGTAAATTGATTAAGGTTTATATTCTTTTTTTTTTAAGTCAAAATTTGTTTGAATGATAGTTCATGTGATTGCCTCAATTTAATTGCCAGAATATTAGTCTGAGAGCATATTATTCAGGAATGGAAAACTCAGAGGGTGTATCTTGAATACGAATATGTCAGTAACTGGAAAGGGAGAAGGTTTTGAGACTCAAACAGCAAGGATAGGGGTGCATTCAATCTTGCTGATCATTGAACTTAATATTTTGAATGTTGTGCATTCATGGAAATATCACTGTGGAGGCAGTCCAAAATGAAATATTGATCTTTCACGTCATCCAACGATGATCCATTTTTTTCATCATGCAGTGACAGGTGGAAAGCGTAAATGCTGCATGAAATCAATATTGAAACATCATAAGACAATTCTAGGGAGTAGGGCAGCTGTTCTCTATTTACGCTGTGCCCCCCCCCTTCCCCCTCCAGCGACCCTCGTTCGGCGTCGCGCCCTATTTCTCTCTGAGAGGAGTACCTAGAATTTAACTCACCCCACGGATGCTTTTTTCATGCAATGATTGAAAAAATAGGAAACGGATTGCAATGTTTCAGGTACTGGGTCACAGCTAGGAAACGGATTATCATTCGCGTAATTTAATAAGAACGACGCTCACATGCTGCTGGGCCCACAAATGATCGAATCTGGACTGGAAGGTAACAATAAAGACATAACACGCACCACCCTTGGCCCAATCTTGCGAAGAAGGGGGGTAACGGAAGATGAAATCTTGTCATCTCATTATCTCGTTTTGCACCATATCCAGAGGCTCAATTTAACCGAGGCCCATGCATTTTTCGCCTATTCAGTAATCCGATAAGGATATTATCCTACTGTCCTTTCGCTTTCATTAGGCGAAGCAGCTTGATATTCCTGTATAGGAAAGGTTACTATTACCGATGTAAGATGGCATCTCAGTCGCCAACCCAGTGGGTCGTCTGTAAAGAAATTAAGCCACTCTGGGATTTCTTACATAGAGTACCTACTTTTTTCTTGGTTACAGCAAAGCGTAATACATTGGAATCCCACGATATTGTTATCTAAAGATGAAAGTCAGCCCAGGGAGACGTCTGGCAATACTGGCTCTAAGGAAGGAAGAAGAGGGATTCAGGATTTAAGGTAAACCCAACACAATTTTTAGATCAGCTCTTACTTTCGCTCGCGGACACCTGATAAAGCCCTTCCGGCCAGCTGGATCCGCAAACGTCTTATGATCTTCGGGGCATCTGTCCTCAACCCTTCCGATAGGATGAAAATATAATATCGACTTAAGTAAAATCATACCTTACTGACTCACGAAGTAAAACGGCTAGGACCCTATAGATTTGATTCTTCTTCGGCTCAGGTGGACCTAAATACTAAGCGCCCCAAAACACTGATACTAACCTAAATAAATTCAGGTTGCTTTCTCAATAAGGCCGCATAGTTCCTTACTCTTTAATTAAACCCCTAA